GAGATACAGCAACAGACAGAGAGAGAAAGAGATTTGAGAAAGAAATAAGCAAAAGGTGTAGGGGAAGTAGGAACGAAAGAGAAGAGTAGAGAAAGTGAGAGGAGGGGTGTAGGGGAGGTGACCGATGAGGAGACAGGGAGAGGGGGTATAGTCTGTGATCAATCAGGCCGTTTCATATCACAGAATGACAAATCACACGACAATTGCGCTCCCCTCTGTTCCCCTCCCGAGAGCCAAGACTAAAACGAACTGAACATCTCTGTTTCTCTGAATATGAAAGAAAGGATGCATTCAACTGTCTGTCTGTCTATCAAGGAAAGTAGAGTTCGGCTGTCTGGCAACTCGTCTATATGTCTATCAAGGGAAGGGTGGTTCGTCTGTCAGTCTGTCTATATGTTAAGGAAGGACCGTCAGATTTCTTGTAAGAATATAGTACATCAAAATTAAATGGAAAAAAATAAAATAAAACGGATTGGAATTGAGAAACGGAAAAAAAAATAGAAAATAAGGAATAAAAGAAAAAAACAAAAAAAGGGCGTAAGGAGAAATGGATAATAAAGACTCTTTTCTTACTTTTTTTCCTATTTGCTAAGCATTAAGGTGGCATCTGTTTATCGATCTTAAATGCGTTCCATTAGCCATGTTTTAGAACCGGTCAGACTCGTCTCGAAATCAGGTCCATAACAGACAGGAAACGGAAACTTCTGCAGGATCACGTGGCGGAATGTCCCTCTTATTTAATCGTATTCATCATAATCATATATTGAAATCTTGATTATATTACACTTACCTGTGTGCAGCTATCTTTACTCATTTGCCACTCCAATTCATAATCATTTTCACCCCAAATGTTACTCTCTTCCATTCGCTTTTGTTTATATATTTCTTATTAAGGTGAAGATACGCTGACTTAACATGTAATATTTATTTAAGTGTATGTAGTTATCTCTTGTGTGTGTTTTTTTTTTCTTCTGTCCTCTCTTTCTCTCTCTCTCTCATCTATTACAACATACACAAAATACTTCTTTCCATCCGATACACTCTCTCTCTCTCTCTCCTATAAAGACTGTTATGGTTTTTAGGAGAGCGAACGTCGATAACCAACCGTGTGGCGTATGTAGCACGCTTTACTTCCTCGATATGTATTTGCAAGAGTTTGGGACACTGTGTTATATTGTATTTTCACGGGTACCACGGTAAAAATGTCAGGTTGAGGTAGGGGTAGTAGAGCGCGTGATGATGATGGCGATGGAGATCATAATAATGAATACCAGTGACGGGTCTCATCAAAAATATTAATGAACTCTCGGTGGTAGATGTAGCAATAATACTGCTTCTATTGCCAATACTACTGCACTACAAGGACTACGGCTTGGCCAAAGATAAATGTGAAAACATATTTTCTTTTACTTCACCACTATTCCTTACCAGGTACTAAACTTCCACACATAAAACAATTAAAAAAAGAGACAACTCAAAATATGTAATTATAACAAGTAACATATACAACTAGGCACAACTCTGATCGAAAATGTGAAAAAAAAACTGAAAATGCCCACTTGCAACCGAGCCTACCAATATTAGGCCTAAGGTTAATCCAATTGCCCAGCTCTCGAGTTATACTAATGAGATGAAGAAAGTTAGGTGTTGTTCCGGAGCCAATGTTTCCGAAACACGAAGAGCTAATGCCGTTTATTGCTGTTGTTTTGTTGTACCTCTTTGGCGTTAGCAAAAGGAAAATTACCGTTTACTGCTGTCGCGGTTTCGAAGGCGGTCCGTGGAAATGGTTTGATGTTAGTGGCACTGTTTGTTGTTGTAAGCTCTGTTGTTTGTAGTGATGATGATTGCGATTGAAGTTTTTATTTAGTTTAATTTTTTATGATTATTATTATTTTTTTTCTTGTAAGAGAGACTACTGTGTGGTAATAAAATGCTTTATTATGCTGTTGCTACTGTGTTGATATTATTGGTTTGCTATTACTATTCCTAGTGTTGGTAATGCTGCTGTTGCCTGTGTCCGTTGTTCCTTCATAATATACATTCGAGATGACTTAATTAAGTCTATCGTATTATCATGTACCGTTGATTCAACGTATGCAGGAAATCTGCCAAGGTGCTGTGGTTGATATAATTATCATAATCCATACTGATGGTATTATTACCTTCAACAAACTGTGCATAAAAAAATGTGATACCCTTCCATGTTGATGATGATGATTATTAGAGGCACAATTAATTTCATCCTAATAATAAACGAAATAATACACTTGTAGACTGATATCGATAAACAACTACCATCTCTGACTCAATAGTGATTTTCAAATCGTAAGCACATTAAGATCCCTTCTTCCGTTGCTTATCACTATCGCCGCTCTCATTGTCGTTATTACTACCATTGTAATCAATATACTTTCTTGGCCACATTTCCTACGAGAGAGAGAAAGAGAAAGATTGAGTTAGTGAAAGAGAGAGAGAGAGAGAGAGAGAGAGAGAGAGAGAGAGAGAGAGAGAGAGAGAGAGAGAGAGAAACAGAGACAGAGACAGCGAGAGAAAGAACGGACAGACACAGACCTGCAGAGAAAATGAACGAAAATGAATGAAAGACCCTGCCCCGGAGAATATCAGGCCCTAAGCGACAGAACGATAGTAAATTGGTTATTACCATTATTCTTTCTATCTCGCAATTCGACAAGAAGATTACGAGAATGACCGATACCATTATCCACTTAGGATATAGGAGAGAGAGAAAAAAAAGCAAGGTGGTCTTAGTTTTATTTTCTTATCCAACGACTCCATATTAATTGTTTCTTTACATTAATTAATAAAATGCAATCACTTTTACATCATTACTATCATTATCTTAAAAGACACGTAAGTTAAAAGACTCCGTTAACATAAAGTAAAAAAAAATAACGCTAAATTGACACGAATAATAATTATCTCCGTGCGAAATCAGGCAAAAAAATTACTCCCTTCTTTCTATTCATCTTTTTTGACTTGAAAAAGGCTGAAAAAGGGGGGAAGGCATATCAGCAACACGTTATTGATATCTTTAGGGAAAATTGAGAGAAGTTTTACGAGAAACTTTTTTTTTTATTTCCGATCTTTCCAGTGAGAAAATAGACACATTTTTAAAGAGGTAAATAAGGTATATAAGAGGTAAAATAGACATGAGAGAGAGGGGGGGGGGTTACAAGGAAGTTCTGACACATTTCCATTCCAAAGGAAAATCAACATATTTTCTGAACAATTATACAAAAAATACACAAAACAGCCTTTGCAACAATTAAGTTAACAGTAAAAAAAAAACGACAAGTCCATCACAATTACCAAATATTTTCACTATTTGAAATAAAAAGACCATCAACTATGATTAGTAATAATAAAAATAAACAGGCAAACACTGATAATAACAGCAATAACACAAGAAGGCGTTTCACAAATTGGTCATTTGCACTTGGCTAATAACTGCAATCATAACGACACGAATGACATCCACATGGTACTTTCGGGGGTAGATGGAGGGCAGAGGGGGGGGAGGACAGTGAAGGATAAACTTAATTATCTCTATGCAATTACAGTGTTTTTTTCAGCACAGTAGTGGCAGTGAGCATGTTAGTATCCTTATTATCTTTACTAACAATGTCATCAGCACGTTGCGTCATACAATAACACTCAAGATAATAGCAATAATGATAATCACGAAAGTGACGATGATTACAATAACTGAGATAATAACAGTAACTACATTAACCTGGAAAGGTAATTGAGTGAAATACACGAGCATTCCCAACAGTGTATCACGATCCAGTCCAACAAAAATAAGGACATTTTTCCACTAGATCACAACTTGCAATAAAAAAAGCAACATTGAACCACACTTTAAGTTCATATTCGCCATTATTTTCAAATCGTCAACACTATACTCATTCACTTATTTTCTGCTCACTTGAGTTTTATCAGAGTATGCACACATAAATATTGTTAGGACATCATATTACGGAAGTTAATGCAGTGTTTACCTCGTCTTCCGCGCACTCGCTCCGGTCTATGTCACAATATGAAGATATAATTCTGAGATCTTTCATATAATACTTATGAATAGTTTTATTATTTGAGTTATTATCATTATTGTTATTATTGTTGTTAGTAGTTGCAGTAGTTGTTATTTTGCTGTAGTCTTATTGTCATTATCATTATCATTCTCACTGTCATCATCTGCATTATTGCTATTATAATTGCTATTATCATTATAATTACGAATTTGCGTGTCTTCCTTGCTTTTGTCCAAGAAACTACATTTCCCCGGCATTTGGCGAAAATAAAATTCTCTCTGATTTTCTTTTCAGATTGTAATATGAGCTATTTTTCCTGCTCTAGTCTTCCTTTTCTTTTCTCGTCCTTTCAGAGTTACATTGTTTTACTCCTAATTATCATGCATTTTAAGATCACTGATATTTGTCAATGGTATCATACAATACACTTATTTTTATGGTGGTTAAGAGGAAGACATTTCCTTCATTGCTTCGAAGCTGCGAAATATCGGAGGATCGAAGTCACAATATATATATTTTTCTTTCTCTTTCCGTCACTTTTTTTTTTTTTTCCTTTCCTGTTTTCATTTTTTTCCAATTTTCTTGAGTTTGGAAGACCGAACGGCGGAATAGCGCGATGCATGTAATTAAACACAATAAAAATATAGACACATAGAGTTAACTTTTTTTTACATGAAAATGATAAACAATTCGTTCTTGATTTTTTTCCCCAATTAAAAAAACATGAATCACTCACAAATCACAACATATTCGTTTTGGAAGTTAATTTTTTCACACATCGCACACGGGGAAAACTACAAGTAACGAGATTCACTATTACACATTGGTCTTGGAGTCGAGAAAGCTAATGAAATGCCGGCGAGAGAGGTGAACCGTGATACATGGGGAATGTAAATACCAGCACACGTGGATGTATTGTGATTGAAGAAGTTTGTGTTTACTTACAGTGAGTTGAGTGAGCGAAGCCTGTTGAGGGGTCGGTCCGGGTTGCTGCTACTGTCCTTGTGCGGTTCGCGGAGCCAGATGAACGTGTCATATTTACGGAACTTCTTGAGTTTCACGTTTGGAACTTGGATGTTGGTTTTAAAGGAGTGTTTGCGCGGAGTGTCGTGGGCTGCGCCCTCCACCACGCTGTCCATCGCTAAACCCTCCCGGTAACTAGTGCGCCGGCGCAGTCCCAGCCCAACTTTGAAGCCCGACATTCTGGCAGGCCGGACTCCGAGCTCGCGGTCCAAACTCTCGTACACTAAAACATCCTACAGCGCTGCCAGGCGGTCGAACATGCTATGGTGGTTTGTTTGCCTGTGCTTTCCACCTGTTTCCTGGGAGATTTTCCGGATGGCGCTCTATTCGTACAGAAGAGGTGTGTCAATACTGATTAGTCATCTATCACACGCAAAGCAGTTTGTACGAACTATTAATGCAACGTGTCATGTTGACATTATGTTCTAATTAGTGCCAACGGCGAGAATATTTAATCACATTTGCAACACAGTCACCGTGAGTCTAAATTTCCTGTTTATATCCGAACCTGTAACAAAGAGTCGGTTACCTGTTATAGCCGGATAAGGACAGTGTACTCAATAATAATACGTTATTCATTTTGAAAGATCGATGAAACGACTGACCGACTGGCCGAAGTTCAAAAGACAACCATAGGTTATTCATAATGTTCAGGGCGAGTTCCTCTATTCATTTTGTTATGGGAATAGTTCGTGCTGTGCCGACACGTGATCTGGTCAGTCTGCAGGAATGTGTAACAGCATGAATAAATTATCATCTACGTGTACAGCGACATATGTACACAACCGCGAGCACAGTGTCAATTCTGGTTATTAGTCTCCCTGTCACTCACTCTCTCTCTTTCTCTCTCTCTCTCTCTCTCTCTCTTTCTCTTTCTCTTTCTCTTTCTCTTGATCTTGATCTTGCTCTTGCTCTTGCTCTTTCTCTCTCTCTCTCTCTCACTCCATTATCTCTATCTATGTACTGTAGATTTATAGAGAGATGAATTAGTTGATTAATTAATAATAAATTTATAAATATATCAATACAAGCATACCTACGCATACCATTATGGATAGACGGATAGATGAATAAAGTTATATATTAGTTACAGATATAGAAATAGGATATATATAGTTTTACGCATGCATACACGCACACGCACATAAATTGATATATATAAGTATATATGTGCATACACACACACACACACACACACACACACACACACATATATACATACACACACACAAACACACACACACACACACACACACACATATATATATATATATATATATATATATATATATATATATATATAGTTAGACATATATTCATGACGACACAGATCTCCACACCTACGAATCACACTTTTCGCACGCGCGAGGAGGAAACAGTGTTAGAAGTCTTAAGGGGCACATACATAATAAAACTACAGGTGACCTCTTCACTTATTCAAAGGCTGCATCCACTGTGGACTCAACTCTACATTTCCACTTAAGGTGACAACTGCGTGGTTTGTGAAGGTATAGATAATTAGATAGATATCTGGCTAGATAGATAGATTGACTGATTGATTGATGGATAGATGTAGTGTGTGTGTGTGTGTGTGTGTGTGTGTGTGTGTGTGTGTGTGTGTGTGTGTGTGTGTGTGTGTGTGTGTGTGTGTGTGTGTGTGTGTGTGCGTGTGTGTGTGAGAGAGAAAGAGAGAGAGAGAGAAGAGAGAGAGAGAGAGAGATGAAAGACGCAAGGAAGAAAGAAAGAACGAGAGAAAGAGAGGGAAAGGAACAAGCGGCTATTCAGGTGCAAGAGAAAGAGTGTTGATAATAAGACAGATTAATGATAACACTTGAATATGCCTCATTAATCATTACAAGAGAGAGAGAAAGAGAGAAACAGTGCTAGAAAGAAGGAGGGGGGGAAGCAATGATTACAGAAAAAGGGAAAGACAACGAGAAAGATAAGGAGAGAGAGAGAGAGAGAGAGAGAAACTGAGTTAGTAAAAGAGAGAGAGAAAATTAGAGTTGGTGAGAAATAGTGAGAAAGAAAGAGAGACTGAGTTAGAGAGAAAGAGAAAGAGAGAAGAGAGAGACTGAATTAGTGAAAGAGAGGGGGAGGGATGAGCGGGAAGAAGAAAGACGAGGCGGAAAGAGATAAGGCACCTGTCGCCATAAAAAAAAGTCCTACTCAAAAAAAAAAAAAAAAAAAAAAAAAAAAAAAGAAGGCGAGGCACTTATCCATTCCGTAAATAATAAAGCCAGCTCACAGCTTCACTTCCCACCTCCTTTTCTTACCTTCCTTCCCTCTCCACTCTTCCCTATTCACGCTCCTTCACCCTTTCCTACTTACCCTCTTCTCACCCAACCTCACTTACCTTCCCTCCTTCCCCACTTACCTTACGCTCCCTCGCTTTTCATCTCCCTCATACTCTATACAATGATTCTCTCTTTTCTCTCTCCTCTCTCCTTTCTCATCCCCCTTTTTCTCTTCTTCTTCTCCCATCCTCCTTCCTCTCCCCTTTTTACCTTTCCTTCCCTCATCCCTTTATTGTCCTCCTTATCCTTACCCCCTTTTACTTTTTCGCATCCATCGTCTTTAATCTTCCATCCTCATCCCCACTTTTACCTCCTTCCTTCCCTCCCCTTATATACTCCTCTCTCACCCCCCCTCTTATCCTCCCTCCCTTATTACCCCTTATACCTTCCTCCCTCATCCCACACTTTTACCCTCCCTCCCTCCCTCTCCTCTACCTCCTTCCCACTTTTATCCTTCCTCCCTGCCTCCCCCATCCTCCCTCTCCTTACACCCCCCACTCTTATCCCCATTTCCCCCCCCCCTTCCCTTATATCCACCTCCCCTCACCCCCCCCCTCATATCCTCGCTCCCTTAATCCCCCCCCCCCATCCCCCACCAGCTACCGTCAGCCGGGTCATCTCTCGCGCTGGCAAACTGAAAACATGAAAAAACACTTCAGTATATCAAGAAGCCTTTGCAACACTGTCATCCTGTATCCTCCTCCTCCCTCCCTTCCTCCATCTTTCAATATCCTCTCCTTTCCCTCCCTCCTTCTTCGCTCTCCCTTCCTCCCTTATTCCATATTTCATCCCCTTCTCCGTCTTCGTTTTCCTTCCCTCCCTTCCTCCATCTTTCATCTCCTCTCCCCTCCCTCTCTCTTCGTTCTCCCTTCCTCCATATTTTATCCCTTCTCCCCCCCCCTTCCTCTTCGTTCTCCCTTACTCTTTCATCCCCTCCCCCCCCCCTCTTCGTTCCCCCTCCCTCCCTTTCTCCATCTTTCATCCCCTCTCCCCTCCCTCCCACTATCCGTCTACCATTTTTCTCTCCCTTTAAACGCCTCTTTAAGTTATCAAAACTCCCTCCCGCTCCCTTATCACCCCATTTTCACCCCCTCCCCCCCCTCTATACCTCCCTTCCTCTCCCCCCCTCCCCTCTTCCCTCCCATCTACTGCCGGCGCGCATCAGAATAGCCTCATCTACGTGTTTGAGATGGTATGGTTCCCCCCTCTCCCCCTCCCCTCTCTCTCCTCCTCTCCCCTCCCCTCCCCTCTCCGTCTCCTCCTCTCCCCTGTTCTCCTCTTCTCATCTTCGCATCTTTACCTGTTGATTTTTTTTTCTTATTTATTTATTTATTTTTATTGCATTCTCGCATCCTAACCTTTCGTTCTATCTCCTCTTATTCTTCCTTTTCTTCTTTTTTTCTACGTCCTTTTCCTTATTCTAGCCTTCTTTACTTGTCCGTTCTCTTTCTCTCCTCCTTTCTTACCTTCCCCTTTCTTCCATCTGCCGACTTTCCGCTTTCATTCCACTCTCTCCCTTACCTTTTTCCTCTCCTCTCACATCTCCTTCCTCTCATCCCCCCACTTTCCTCCAACCCCCTCCCCCCACACCCTTTCTTTCTCCTCTCCCCCCCATACTCCTTCCCCATCCTCTCACCCCCTCCCCCACACCCCTTCCACCTCCTCTCACCCCCTCGCCCCTCCTCTCACCCCTTCCCCCTCCTCTCACCCCTTCCCCCTCCTCTCACCTCCTCCCCCTCATCTTCCTCTCACCTCCTCCCCCCACACTCCTCCCCCCTCCTCTTACCTCCTCCCCCCCTCATCTTCCTCTCATCAGCTCCCGCATACCCTTCCTCCTCCTCTCACCCCCTCCCCCCACGCCGTAAATCCTCCTTACACCCCTTCCCCCACACCCTCTGCCTCCTTCTCTCACCCCCCACACCCTTCTTCCTCCCCTCCCCCTCCCCCCACACCCCTTCCTCCTCCCCACACCCCTTCCTCCTCCTCTCCCCCCCTCCCCCCACACCCCTTCCTCCTCCTCTCACCCCCTCCCCCCACGCCGTAAATCCTCCTCCCCCCACACCCCTTCCTCCTCCTCCTCCCCTCCCTTATCCCCACCCTCTCCCCTCTTACAACCCCCCCCCCCTCTCCCCCTCCCACCACCTCCTCCAGCAGCTCTCACCCGAAGCGCCTTTTTGAAGGTGTCAGACTCACCTTATCGAAGTAATTAGGTGACAAACACGCGGCCAGACACCTACGAGTCTCACAAGGGCCCCTACGCTACCACTTCTCTTGTGGGGGGGTGGGTGGGGGGTGGGGGGGTTTAAGGGGGAGTTTTAACGTTTTTTTTTAGTTCTATTATCATTGGTATTAATTTTATTGGTATTTGTTGGCGGTGCTTTTGTTGTTATTGGTTGTTGTTTGTATTCTTTTTACTTGTTTTCAATGTTAGTGTTATTGTTGTCGCCATTATCCTTACATTAGTATTGCCATTATTATCAGTATCAGTATTGTTATCATTAATAAACCTACTCATTATCATTACCATTACCATTATTATTTCATCATTATCGTAATCATTATTATTATTGTTGTTATAATTGTTAGTATTAGTATTAGTATAAGTATAAGCATTAATATTATCGTTACCATTATCACTATCATTACCATTATCATTATCTTCATCATCACCATTCTCTCTCTCTCTCTCTCTCTCACACACAAACACACACACACACACACACACACACACACACACACACACACACACACACACACACACACACACACACACACACACACACACACACACACACTCTTTCTCTCATTAATTAACTGAAAAAAAACATTTCCAAAAATTAGATATTCTGAACACTAATTCATGGCAACTTTGTTATGACCACAAAAATGCATCCATTTTATTACGCAAATTTAATGATTCAATGCAAGGTTCATGTGACCTAGAATCCGTTACAATATTATTCACTGCAAAGAAAACAAAATAATTTAAATATCAATTTCCCTTTTTTTCTCTCTAATAACAACAACAATATTGATGATGGTGATCATCATCAATATAATAATAATGATAGTGAAAATAATAATAATAATAATAACCGCAACAATAACAACAACCACAACAGTATAATAATAATAATAATAATGATAATAATAATAATGATAATAATAATAATAATAATAATAATAATAATAATAATAATAATAATAATTA